TATGCCAAAGTCATGTGTTTGATTCCCATACAGGCCATTCACTAAAGAGTTGGATTTGATGATCTTTGTGGGTCCCTTCCAACTCAGAATATTCTGGTTCTGTGAAACCAGTTCAGCTTTCTGCTCCAGTTCATGGTCTGCAAACAGCCTTGTCAGCACAGCCAGGGCTGGGCAGCCATGACAGCACCCACCCACCACAGAGCAGGAAATCCTAAAGATATCACTGCCTCAGAGGTGCAGATGCCTGGTTCATTGTTGCCAAGGGAAAGGTCCAGCTTTCCTCCTCTCCGCCAATAGCATGGTCCCACCACCTCTTTTTGCTTATGTTGGCAATTTCGTGGCTAATTCTCTGCTGGGTTAGGCATCCAGCTCAGAGAGAGCAGCCTAAGGACTGCTGGAGTGGCTCTATCTACCTGCTGCATCGCCCTATCTCTATCATCAGACCACACCCTCAATTACCCATATAGCTCTACAGCATTCCCAGGAAGGGCTGGCTCCATATACTATGCTAAACCCCAGGCAGGATCATCCCTCTCTCCCCGCTGTTTCTATAAGTGCCTTTTCCCGCTCCCTTATTAGCACCAGAGCTGCTGTGGCTCCGGGGTGAGCAGGCTCAGTGGCACAACTGAGCCTGGAGAACAGAGTGAATGGTAGAAGGTTGCACCAAAAAGTTTCTTGCTTACCAGTTGAACTCAGCAATGTGTATCTGCCTTTTTGTGGAATGGTTCATCAGGCTTATTCCAGTGACACCCATAAACTTCAAGGAGAGCACTCATTGCTAAAGGATTCATATTCTTCTACCAATAACAGTGGAAGACTCATATAGCATGATGAGGAAAAAGACCCAGCACTGCTGAGTAAAGGTCATTGCTGTTTCTATTGTACAGCAGAAATAAAAACACAAGCTGCAGCTCTGCACAGTTACATGCTCTTTAAAGAGCTCTTCCCCTGCACCTCTTTCAGTGCCTGTCCCACCCTGCTACAGTAATTTGTAACTATGGGTTTCTGGCCGAGTTTCCTTCTCAGTCATGTAATTTCCTTTTCTTTTGTGGGACATTTGCAGATTTTCAAAGGGAAAAATTTGTATTCTATTTCACCATCCAACAACCCATCAGTGTGGAAGAGAAATGTACCTAATTTTTGTGTGGCTTCTTACCAGTGTTTTTAATGCTAAAATACAGTTAACAATGAGTGAGAGCATCAGCACAGTGGTCCTGCAAATCTGAATCTTTTCTGTGTGTAGGAAAGGTAGCAGTAGGATTAACCTTTCTATTTGCAGCAGAGTGACTTTTCCTGGAGGAAGACAAACTTCAGCCCCAAGCAACTACTTCCTTGAAGCTTGGGAAGCAGATGTCAGCCTCTTGGTATTGACGTGGTTATGTAGGATGTTGACAATCTTAAACAAGAGAATGTTCAGCAATGCCAGGGCTGCTGTGTGCAACAGCTTGCAGAAGAATCCGTATGTTTTTCTGCCTTTCCTTAGGCACCCCGCTGAAGACAGTCAGGCATCCCCCATCACCCCACTTCCAGAATGGGTCCTGACTTCCACTCTCTTTGCAATGTTGAGCCTGAGCCACTAGGCCTTTTTAGGGAATGATATGCTCATTGCACAAAATACATCCAGCCTCTTCTGCTGCAGGGGTTGAATTTCACAGCCGACAGATGTACCTGCAGATGTACCTGCCGACTCCCAGCACTTTGAGCTCTGATGACCATTTAAGCGTGGTTGTTGACAAATTCAATTCAGTTTTATCCACTTTCACACACATTATTTTTCATACTACAGGCTAAAAGCTCTGTGTCAGTAGAAGAACCTTTTTGCCTCTGCAGGAGACTATCCAGCATTTCATAGAGGAACAGATTTGACGGTATAATACTGGAAAGTGGACACCTAATTACCTCATTCCTTACTAATGTTGCCATTTGTGAATTTTTTTTCTGAGAGCCTGTCAGACAGAGGGGAATTGGTGTGGGTTATGGAGTGAGGCTGAATGCACTCATTAAAAAAATTAATCCTATATCTTCTTAGTAAGTGAAGAGGCAGTTTGTTGGAGAAGGGGAGCCTTTCCAAGCCCCAAAGGTAACATTTTTGCAGAGAGAGTACAAGTTTGCACTGTGTTCCTTTCATAATAAGTTTCTAGACAGAAAAGATACATCTTCTTCACCGGGATTTTATTTCCTGATGTGGTAGGTTGACCATGGCAGGACATCAGGTGCCCACCAAAGCTGCTCTATCACTCCCCTCCTCAACTGGACAGTGGAGAGAAAGTACAACTAAAGGCTCATGGCTTGAGATAATGACAGGGAGAGATCACTCACCAGTTACCATCAAGGGCAATAATGACTCAACTTGAGAAATTTAGCTTATTACCAATCAAATCAGCATAGAACAATGAGAAATAAAAACTAAATATTAAAACACCTTCCCCCACCCCTCCCTTCTTCCTGCTTAATTTTACTCCTAAATTCTCTAACTCCTCCCCTCCAACGGTGGAGGGGAGGGGAGGGAGGGGGCGGGGCGAGGGGGGGATGGCGAGAGGGGAGAGAGAAGAGAATGGGAGAGGTGGCCAGTGGGCCACTGCTGTGGTTAGTTCAGAAGTTGTCTATGCTGCTCCTTCCTCCTCAAGGGGAAGACTCCACATACTCTTTCCCTGTTCCTGTGTGAAGTCCCTCTGATGGGCTGCAGTTCTTCACAAACTGCTGTCGTGCAGGTCCCCCACAGGGTCACAAGTCCTGCCAGGAAACTTGTTCCATTGAGGACTCTTCTCTCTGTGGGTCCACAGGTCTTGCCAGGAGCCTGCTTCCAGTGTGGGCTTTCCATGGGGCCATAGCCTGATTTGGACATCCACCTGTTCCAGTGTGGGATCCTTCAGAGGGAAAAAGTAGATATCTGCTCCAACATGGACCTCCATGGGTTGCAGGGCCACAGCTGGCCTCACCATGGTTTTCTCCACAGGCTGCCAGGGAACCTCTTGTCTGACATCTGGAGCACCTACTGCCCCTCCTCCTTCAACTGCCCATGGTGTCTGGAGAGCTCTTTGTCTCACATATTCTCACTCATCTCTCTGGCCGCAATTGCTGTTGTGCAATTTTTTCCTCCGTCTTAAATGCGTTATCCCAGAGGCACTACCACAGCTGCTGATGGACTTGGCCTTGACCAGCAGCGGTCTGTCTTGGATCTATTAGACACAGGGGAAGCTTCTGGCAGAAGCCACCCCTTTGCCCCCCCACAACCCAAACCTTGCCACACAAACCCAACACACCTGAGTATTAAACATATTAAGGCGACTGACACACATTAAGACAATGCAACTCCCTCTCAATAAATTAGCATGCCTGTGTCTACAAGAAGACATAATAGCTGTTATTTATATTGTACTTACATATTTTCTTTACAAATAAAAGCTTTATGCCTCCCTTTGAGCCTGCTCTTAGAGCCTTTGACTACAGCACCTACAACTAAACTATTACTTCAAATTAGCATGGCGTTCAGTGTGCATTTGTATTACTGCCCTAATTTTTATTGGTTTGTTAATTATTATTTTTTCTCTCAGTTCATTCATCAATCATATTTACAAACCCGTTGTTGTACTTACTGCCAGATTAGTGTTCTCACACATTTCAGCACACAGACAGAAACTGCAAACTAGGGCAGCTTTATTAGGATCTCTAATATTTCTGAGGAGTTTGAAGGTGCTGACAGCTTATAGTATCTTTCCCAGGCAAGTGCAAGTGCCTCAAAGTCCATCTATCTGCAATTACTGGAAGGGGTAAAATTACAGAGCACGCTTTTCCTCTGAGAAGGAATCCACTCCCCAGAGGTTAGGACTGGGGAACAAAAAGTATATTACAGCTGGAGATCTGGCAAATTATACTCCTCTGAACTTCTGAATAATCATCCGTGCCACACTGGCTGCCTTTGCAAAGCAAGCTTGTTTAGAACCCAAGTTGATTACCTTCCCTATTGTTTTGCCAGGTAGTTTAGTCATACATCAAGACCTAACCCTGAAGTTCTGCCACCCCTCAATGCTCACTGACAGCAATGGAAGCAGCTCAAGGATGGCAGAAGCAGGCCTCTGTTGTGCTTTGGCTATGTCCTTTTTTACTTTTTGTCCTGACTCAATTATTCTCTGCTTCACACCACTCTTTTATAGTAGGCACCTCAGGGTGGAGGGTATGAGGAAAGGGTTTTATTTCTCAGGACTGCATAAAATGGTGTTTCTCAGGGCTACAGAAAAAGGGAAGTAGTTTCAAATATCTAAGTGGGCACATTGTCACCACAGCCCTGTTTGCATACAAGCCCATTGTCAACCAAAGAAACTGGAAAATTATGGCTATTTATCTATCCTTCTTTTTACCCCCCGTTGTGCCTCTTTTGGCAGAGCAGCTGAAGAGTTTGCATTGTTTCAAATTTAATGCTTGCAGATGGTTTTATTTAGAATCTGTTTTATTGGTGAGACATGCTTCCTCTGTTTATTAAATTATGCCTACTTTTTTGTCATCCATCATGTTGCCCGCAATTTCTGCACAGATCTCGAGGGTAGGGCTGGTTGTTGTTGTTGCCGTTGGGTGGATTACTTTTTTTGGGGGTAATTTGAAATATGATCGAACTCCGAGCGCCAGGGAAACACGGCTGGTGCTGACATTTTTCTCACAGAAGAGCATGACGCTCCCGACGGGCGAGCAGAGGCGCGGGGCGCTGCCGGTGAGAGGGGCGCCCGGCCAGGGGCAATTCCGCCCCTGCCCCCGGCCGACGGGGGAGCCCCGGGGCCACGGCCCCGGGCCGGGGTCACGGCCCCGGGCGGGGGTCACGTCTCGCCGCCGTCGCCCGGAGGCGGGCGGCCCCGAGGGCGCGGGCTGCCGAGTCCGGGCCCGGCTCCGCGGGGCGCCGCGGCGGCTGCCGGGCGGTGGCAGGTGGTGGCCGCGGCAGCGCTCGGAGCGGAGCCCGGCGGCTCCACCGGGCCGGGCCCCCCCGGCCGGCAGCTCCCCCCGCGCGGTGCCCGCGGGCCGCCCGCGCGGTTTGTGTCCTGCGGAGCCCCCTCGAGCCCCCGGGTGGCTGCGGGCGCAGATCGCCGGCGGCTCCGCGCGGAACTCGCCAGCTCGGGAGCAGGAGGTGGGAACCGCGGGCGGTTTGGGTTTGCTCGGCTTCTTCTGGGTTTGTTTGGGGTTTTTTTCCCCCCCTGCTTTGTGCGGCTTTTTGGGGTTGGTTTTTACTATTTTTTCCCCTCCTCTTTTCCCAGCTCGGGTATTTGGAGGGAAGGCGGGAGCACCGCTGCCCCGGGAGAGACTCGGCGGGCCGGGCCGGACCGGGCCGGGCGGGCCGGCGGCACCTCCCCCCGGTTCGGGGGGTCCCCGGGCTCGGCCCCCGAACGCCCCTCTCTTCCGTTCTCCATGTCATTTCCTGTGCTAATAAGATGGTGGTCACGGCCGGGAGGGAGGGAGCCGCCGCTGCCGCCTCCGCCGAGCCCGGCCCGGCCCCGGGACCCGTCCTCGCCTGGGACTAGCCAGCGGGGCCGGCGGGGTGGGAGGGCGCAGCCAGCCGGGCTCCCCCCGCCCCTCCCAGGCGGAGCGGGCCCCCCGACGCCGAGGCGGGCTCCCCGCGCCCGCAGCGCCGAGGTGAGTCAGCCTCGCTGGTAGCCAAGGTGGCCACGAAAATGGCTGCGGAGCGACTGGGGGGGGACCCGTCCCAGCCTGGGGGGGGGTCCGGATTAAGGGGTGCCCGCAGCGGGCGGGGCGGCGGCAGCGACCCGTGGGCACAAGTATCGCACCCCCCTCCCCCGCTCTCCCCTCCGGGGCGGGCAGCGCGGAGCCCGGCCCGTCCCCGCCGCTCCCGCCGCGCCGCTCCCGCCCGCGCCGCGGCTGCGCCCGCCCGGCCCCCCCCGCAGCCCCGCGGCCGCCAGCGCGGCCCGTGATTGACGCGCCCGGCGGCCAATGGGCGGCGGGGGCGGACGGGCGCGCGCCACATTGGAACGCGGGGGCGGGGCCGCGCGGGGCGCTCCTGGGGGCGGGGGCGGGGGACCGGGACCGGGACCGGGACCGGGACCGGGACCGGGTTCGGGACCCGAGGGAAGCGGGAGTGGCTGCACCCTGCTTGCGGGCACCGTGCTTGCAGCATCACCCGGGCCCCGTGCAGAGCTCCAGGGAAGAGTTGCCCTCGCATAGCTTAACCAGGATGCTCTGTTAACTCACGTGGAAAAACTGCAAATGCATATTCTTGGGCCTTTTCCCCTCTATTATTTTTTTTAAAGTTATAGGATCTTTCAAGCTTCCTTGTAAATGTTCCTGTATTCCTTGTCGTATTTCTAAGGGAAAGGGAAGATGCCTCCCGCCTTGCCTTTCAGATTCCCGAGAAGAAAAAAAAAGCTGGCCTGTGGGCAAAACTGTTGGCTTAGTGTTGCTTCCTCTTTCTCCTGTGATTAATGCCTCTCATTAATGGGAGGAGAACTGGCAGAACCAGCTTAAAAAAATACCAGCCTAACTGTAAGATAAGGTTGTTTTCTAGCACTGCAGGTGTGTGCAGTGTTTTGTTGAGCAGCAAAAGAGCCCCAGCCCCAAATATCCAGCAGCCCCCTGGATCCAAACCTGCTGGTGAGGTTTGACTCCCTTGAATCCCAGAGAGACTGGCAGAGCATGAACTCACTGACTGGATGGGGCTTTGTGTCCCCTAAATTTCTGTTTGTCCAGTCACCAAGATTATAAGCAGTGAAAGCTGAAATGGAAATTACTCTCCTGTCTCTCTGATGGATTTTGTATAAACCCCACAACAGATGCACATGTCTGATGAGGACGGTGTGTTTTTTCAAGTGCAGGCTGCAATCGGAAATGAAAGTGTTCAGTTCATGGGTGTTTGCTTCTTGCAAGGGGTGCTCGGACCAAAGGTGCTTCTGCTCAAAAAAGAATAGTTTAACACAGGGCTGAGCAATGTAGGGCTCTTGAATCACATGCAGCCTGCAAAGAGTTCAAGTGTCTCAAGTGTCGGGGCTGTTGGTGGGGCCAGCAGAAGGACTGTGTTAGTGAAGGAAGGGTTGGCTAGCTGGAACTGCTCACCGGGGAGGATTTGAGGTAGCCACGGGAGATGCTGAAGGTTGCCCTGGCTCTTGGCTAGATGCTGAATTGGCCAATCCCACTGCAGTGTGGAGTAGCAGGATAGGGGAAGTCACAGTTCCCTCCTGCCTAGGAGTAATGTCAAAAGTTGCTGCTCCTTTTGGCTCTTTGTGGGGCATGAAGGAAGTCCTGCAGTTCTCAACTCAGTGCTGGCTTTGGTGTGGAGCTTTCTGGTTTTGGGATACCAGCCTGTTACTCCTTTAGCATCTTTGTGGACCATGCAGGAGGCATGGTGTTTTCTGGGCCAGTTTATGGGGGACTCTCTCAATGCGACCCTTACTAGTTGCCGATAGCAATTACTTGCACTTTTTTAACAATTAAAGAGGAGGATTATTGTGAGTGTGATACCTGATTTTAAATAGTAATGGCAAAAGCAAGAACTTCTCTGAAACGTTATTTTTTATGAACTGAGGCAAGGTCCATCTAATTGGAATGGGGTGGGGGCAGGTTGTTACTTGTATTCCTTGCTGGAAAGTGATGGACCTGCTTGAGATGGGTAGGAGCAGTGTAAAGGTTGTGTCCATGAGTACTGCAAGAGGAGCCTGAAGCGGGAGGGCTCCTCCACTGCAGCAGGCTGGTATTGTGATTGGGGGCCCACAGGCATTGTGGTCAGTGGAAGTTGCCACCCTGAGTCAGGAATTAAAGTATATGTATATATTGAGGAGAAAAACAACAAGCCCAGGCAAGAGAGGTCTTTTTATAGAGAGTACTGTGTACACTTTATCCTTCTGTGTTTTTTTTTAATATTCTTTTTTCCTTTTGTAACTCCTGTCTCATGCTGGTTAATTCCCAAGTGGAGTTGCGGTTTTTTAAGCTTTTTTTCCCTCATGTCCATTTATGTAAGAGAAGTACGTGCTTTTACCTAGCTCTTTATTCTTAAAGTTGCTGTTAGCAGGGCCTGTCTCTTGCTGGTTCAGCTGTAAGTGCTACTAAACCATTTCCAGAGCTCTTAAAATACTGCCTATGTTCATGTCATTTTGGAGTAGCATATTTAAAATTGTTATTCCCAGCCCAGTGTTGTTACATAGGTGTGAAAATTTGCACGGAGAAACTAAAATAGTCCCAAAGACAAATTTTTTTGGGTTTGTTTTTAGTTTGATAAATAATAATACTGTAGGTTAACTGGGGGTCCTCCAGAAGGAAGAAATAAGCTGTTAAAATTTGATCTGAAGATACAAGTCAGGGTAGCTGTGAGAAGTAGCTATTCTTGTTCCCAGTGGCTTGAGTGCGGCTGGGAACTTCTGATGCCTCTTTTGCATTGGGAACATGTGTATCTGAGACCTATGGTTTTCCTAAGTAAAAACAAGCAAACATCTCTTTTATTCTTCAATTTGGATTGCAGCTTTCTGGCATTTTTTAAGAAATCTGGAGTCAGTTGGATGCACATCAGGGTATGCTTGATGTATCTTCTTGCATCAGTGTTGAGTTGACTGATCTGGTCTATCACCTGAGCACAAACCCTTGGGACCCCAGGGTTGAGAGCTGCTTGAGGCACAGGCTGGGGAAGGGGAGTCAGTACGTGCAATTGAGCTTGCATTGAGCAAGTGGCAAAATTCCTCCTGGCCTGCCACTGGGCAGCCTGGCTGTGGGATGCTTACTTTGCTGCTTCATGTTTCGCTCCTTGTCATGCTTGTGGTGTATTTCATTGCAAGTGCGTCTGTACAGCACTCCTGCCTGAGGCTCTGTTGTAGTGGGTGAAGTTTCTTGGACCAGAGCTCTTGTGCAGCTGCAGACAGTTTTAGTGCCTCCTCTTGCACTGACCTCTCTTCAGCAGTGGAGTAAAGAAGGCTTTAATTTCACAGGCTTTTCCCTTCTTCCCGTGACCTCTTCTCTGCTACTGAAGGCATTTATAAATAAAACCTCTAGAGCCATGTTCCATCTAAAGCTGCATAGTGAAATGTTGCTTTTCAGGAATCCCTGCTCGTTAAACTTGCCTGTACAAGTGGGTTCCCGTAGCAAGTCCAGCCACCCAAAGAAAAAGCAGAGATAAGGTGAGAGGTTTGTATCACCCTTAATGGCATCTTCAAAAAGAAGATGAGGGAAAAGTGCTTTGGAAAGGGAGGAAGTTTGCAGATAAAAAAGGCCAAAAAGCAATGGAAAACACAGCCATTCTGGGGCATCTTTGAAAGATGGGAGCAGCCAAGGTGGATGGAGAAGAAGTCTGGTGAGGAGGGCAACACAAGTATCCCATATTAGAGAACCTTTTCTTTATAATGCCCACCATGTGATAGGCACTACAATGCTGATAGAAAAGACCAGGAGGATTGAGAGCAAGGAGGCAAAAAAGCAGAGGTGAAGGGATAAATTTTGACTTGACATCTAGAATCATGTTTGCAATGTGGTTTTTTTAGAAGTCTAGTCACTGTCTTCACCACATAGGCTTTGGACTTCCACTAGAGTCAGTGAAGGTGGTACTAGCACTGACATTTTTCCTCCTTCCATTCCAACCTCTACACATAATTGTCAGAGCCTATGTTTCTGCAGAGAGACAATCAAGCAATTAAGAACATTGACACTTAAGGCTTTGCTGTTATGCTTCTGGGTCATTGATCCGTTTGTGGGAGCAGGAAAGTTTGTATCCTTCAGAGCTGTTGCTCAAATGCCTCGTTATCCTTTAGGACTGGGAGGCAGTACTCTGGCATTTCAGACTCAGAACAGTTTCCCTGCAGTCAAAAGGTAAAAACATTATACATATAATTTAAGATTTAAGCTGCAGAAACTGGCAGCCTCCAGAGGGAGATCAGTAATGCGTACTGCAGAACTGTTTCAGTGCAGTCCCTCAGTCATGGACAGCCATAGTAAGGGGCCCATCAGAAGGGTCAATCATAAGCCAAGTTGTCCAGTTCAAACACACTCTGATAAATGGCTTGGTTTCTCTGCCCCCTTTCTTCTCTCCTTCTTATGCTTTGGCTTTTCAGAAAGACTAGTTTTACTTCGCCTGTAGTGACTTGTCCCAGAGAAGGGACTGCTGTTCTAAAGTCTCGGCATTGAGCCCTACCAGGGCTGCCA